AGGTGAAAAATCTTAAGACATTGTCTGGTTAATCCAATTTGGGCCCAATATCATCACAAGTATTTCTAGAAGAAGGAGGCAGGAAAGTAGAGTGAAATGCTCAAAGTGGAGCTGGGCTGAAATGGAATGTAGGAGGCATCGGTAGCCTGCAAAAGGTGTGAACACAGGCCCCGCCCCCGCTCACTTCGGCTTCTCGAAGGAGCATGCCTCTGCTCAGACCTGGATAGTTGCCCGCACTGTCCTAAACTGCTGGTCTGCAGCACTACAGAGGTTCATCGTAACTCCTTAGAGCAGCCAAAATATGGGGAATGTGAGAGAACCACTGAGTTTAGAGACATGCTTCCAAGCTGGGCATGTAGCTCAGTTGCTAGAGTGCCTACTGTGCATGGAGTGCTGGGATGAGTCCCCCAGCACCACATCAAACCAGGCCTGGGGGTCCATGCTATCCCAGCACTCCAGAGGCAGAGGCACGAGGACCAGAATATGCTTTCAACCAGGGATGGTAGCGCCCACCTTCAACCCCAGTGCCTGGGAGGCTGCAGACAAAAAGAGCTTTAGCCTGATCAAAGCATTGGAGGTCCATTGCTCCAGCCTCCCCACACCCAGGCTTTTGAAGACTCAACAGAGGAACACTGCTTCATTTCTGTGGTCAGGTTTGCTGGCTGGAAATAGCCCAGAGCAGCCATAGACAGCCTCCAGCTCTACCCTCCAAACTTCGTCAGTACGCATCTGGTTGCTGGAATCCAGTTCACACACAGAACCTCAGCTGCCTGTTTAGCTTTCCAGCCCCTGTCTGACCACCTCAGGGCTCAGGTGAAGACCTCACAGCAGCCGAGCCACAGATGAGCATAGCCCTGGTGTAAAGACAGGCTAAACTGTTCGCCCAAAGTCCTTTAGCAAGACGGTTATGGGGACAGAGTTAGAATCCAGTTTTGGTTACTTTTCTAGTTTCAGCTTCTCAGTGCCACACAGCACAGCAGAGGGGCCAAGGGCAGCCCCACGAGAGCAACTAGTCCCTTTGAGAGCACTCAGCAGCTCAGAGGCTGTGCACAAGAGGCTGCGTGATGGAGGTAGCAAGAGGAACAGAAACCAGCAGAGACCCGTTCTGGAAGGTTATGGGGATCTGCAAGTTGCTGTAACAAAGGGCACAAGGGACTATTGGAAATTCTTTCTTTTGTTCTTTGCTTCCATAGGATCTTTTGAAGGGAGGGACAGAAACAAGCTGTTTTGCATTGTGTATATGAAGAATGGTTTAAAATAGAAATTGAAGAGCTGTGTCTGATAGAAATTTGAGTCTTGGCCCTGGTCACACACTAAACTCTGTGGTCATGCAGTGAACTGTGAATTCTGATCACACTCTAGCTCAGACTCTAGTCACATACTGACTCTTGATCCTGTTCACATGCTGAGCCCTAATCCCCATCTCACTCTGACCCTGATGTGGTTACACACTGAGTTCTGACCCTAGTTATACACTAAGCCCCAACCCTATCAGACACTAAGCTTGAACTTCTCATACACTGTTTTCTTATTTTGTCCCATGCTGAGGTTGGCCTCTACCCAAGACTGAACCCCACCTTTGGCCTGACCCTGAGCACTCTGGCTGTGGATAGGTCTTTCCTGGAACTGAACTCTTGCAAGCATCCTGAAAGGTCCCCGATGACCCCCTGATGATGGCGACAGACAGGCAAACGAATGATTCATGTACCGAAGGCTTTGCTATTGCTGTGTCTGCAGCTCAGAGCTCACATCTTTAAACAGTTTAAACAATGTCAGCTTCTAGGAGGTGAAGGATGACTGGACAATGCTTGCTTAGCATTTGATAAACGGAGGTGGAATTGAAATAGTAGGAGGAGCATGGGGTGAGGAAGGAGAAGAAATGAAGGTGAGTTTCTAGAATATTCAGTCTCTCTTTCCACGAGGATGGGGCCCTGGAGCTCCCACCGAAACAGATGGGTAATGGGGAGGATGTGCTTGCAGTCTGGGTGATGTGTACTTTGGCTTTCTCAGGCGAGCTCATGCCCTGGGACCTCAGCCCCAGGCCAGTGGGATCTCAGTGAGGGCAGGGCTGAGGGCACCTGCTCGCCAGGGTAAACAGAGCCTGTCGGGCGTGTACTGGCATCTACTGGCCAGCCCCTGGAGAGCATGGCAGAAGCAGCAGTATTCTTCCTGTCAGAGGAAGCTGAAGGTAGAGTTAGCCCTTGTGACTAGAAAATATTCTGTCTAATAGCAGCTGGGTTAGCTGCTCATAATGCTGATGCAGCATAAGTGTTTGGAGTTGTAGGTGTTTTGGATATCCCTGGTTTTCTGGGTCCTGTCACTCCTGCTTTTCCTTCCAGTTTGGCTCATGTGGGCCACGGCTGCCCAGCACTGTGCAGATTCCTGTCTATCACAAATCTGGTAGGTTTCTGTCCAGTTCCTAAAACCTCCAGGAATAAGGAAAGTTTCCATCGAATACCTGGTGGGATCACGTACAGGCGGATGGACCCTCCCTAAGGGACAGCTAGTTATAGTCCCAGGAGCCCACTGTCCGCAAAGCTCAGCTGTCCTGGGAGACTCTGCTTTAGCCTTCCCTTCCTTCACACTACTGTGATGACTGTCCCTCTCTGGGCTGAGCTCAGGAACCCTGACAGCAGCCACAGGAATGTTCCACTGGGCCCTGAGCTCAGGGCATTTCCTAGGGCCAATGTGGCAGGGAGGCAGTGAGCTCCTGAGGTGGAAGTCCCTCCAGGGATCTTTGCAAGTAACTTGTCATTGAGCCTCCACAGTAAGGCTGTTTGTAGATCTTGTGGCATTAAGAAATCAAAGCTTTAAGAGGTTAAGCAACCAGTGCCAGGCCCAGAGCTTGCAAGAGTTGGATTCCCAGTTCAGACTCAGGTCTCTCTGGATGCCATCTCAGACCCCGGCACCTGCAGGCTCTAGCTCTCTTACCACCTGGCCCAGGCTACAGACAGCTTCTGACTCTGGCCATGGGAAATCAGTGATTGTGAGCTTCATAACCTGGGATAGAGCATGCTGAACCTGAATTGTCATAGCACCTGCTCTCTGCAGCTGGAAAACTGGAATGAGTTCTGTCCAAAGGCTAGGGCGGTGGGGAGGTACTGTGTCCTTTTGGGACCAGTCTGAGCTGAGTGTATGGACCTTTCCAGCAGACCCCTCTGTGATGGTTACTCATGTTGCCAATTTGTGGCAATATAGAATCTCCTGGGAAGTGTCAGTGAGGAATTGTCCAGACCAGGTTGCCTATGTGTTTATGGGGGGTTGTCTTGATTGTTAACTTAGGTCAGAAGACCCACCCTGAATGTGGATTTCTTAGGCTGCACTGTATGAAAGAAAGCAAGTTCAGCACATAGCTAGCATATGCTTAGTCTCTCTTTGCTTCTGATGGTGGAATAGATGCTTTGAGTCTCTGCTGTGTCTCCCCTATAACAATGGGCTGTGACCTGGAACTGTAAGCTGAAATAAGCCCTTTCACCTCTCAGTTGCTTTTGTCAGAAAATTTTATCCCAGCAACAGACTTGATAAGAGAAACTGCCCTCTTCCTGCTCTATTTCCTGTTAGAACTTCTTTCAATCACCATGTGCAGGGGAAGGAGGCCAAAGGCACCTGGAGCTCTGAAGGACGCAGTACAAGGACATCCCGTCTCACATTCAAGGCGTTCTGCTAACATCAGCTCAGAGTTGGGACTATGGGTCTTTGGGACTTGGAATCCCCAAGCTGCCTGACTCCTGGAGACATCTTTCTGTGATGCCCAATGGGGAGTTGCTCTGAGGGCCATTCACATAAGACAACATTCCCAGTGAAGTTCTGCGATAGGGTTGAGGCAGAGGCATAGGGGAAAGTGATGTAGACTTGCTAGTGAGGAGTCCCAGAGGGCTTTGGGAAGTCACATTCCCAGAAGTCCATTGAATTTCTCTTCCTCAGAGGGCTGTGACCTACTAGGGAGGGAGGACAACTGTGGAATGGAGACAAACTTTAGTGCCGGGAGGAGGGTGGAGGGCAGGCATGCTGAGACATGGCAGGAGCAGGAAGAAAGCATGGTGAAGGCACCATTTGGAGGAGAATCACAGTCACATGGCCACAGGTGCCAGCCTCAGTGAATGAGATACCAGGTGTGACAGGGACACTCCTGCTGACTGGTTTTGTGTGAGAATGGCAACCCACTGTTGTTGCATCTATTGATTTCCTCCCCCTGGACATCTGTTGTTTTTTTGTTTTGTTTTGTTTTTTAGAATTGTCTTAAAAAACAAAAACAAAAAACAAACAAACAAAAAAACAGAACAAAATGGCCACGCAGTGGTGGAACAGGACTTCAATTCCAGCTGAGGTGGGCAGATCTCTGAGTTTGAAGCCAGCCTGGTCTACAGAACTAGTTCCAGGACAGCCAGGGCTACACAGAGAAACTCTGCCTCAAAACACAACAACAACAATCCAAAAAATAATCCAAAAATAACAAACAAATGAAAAACAAAACACAAAAACAAACAAAACACACACACACACACACACACACACACACACACACACGCAAAAAAAAAAACCCCAAAACATTAAACAGGAAATAAAACAGGTGTGCAGGCTCTGTGAGCTCTGACTGAGGGGCAGAGATGTGCTCAGAGAGTAGGAGAGGTAGCATGGTTAGCTTGACCAAGGAATGTGTGAGTTCCAGGGCTCTCAGATCCTCTGGCCGTCAGTCAGGGGAAGGCGACCACACTGATGCTGCTTCCAGGCTTCAGGGAGCACCGGATGCTCTTAAGTATGTCAGGAAGCCGGGGGGGGGGGGGGGGG